GCACGTCGAAAGGATTTTTCAAAGTGAAAGCCACATAAGAAGGTGAGCAATAATTTTTTTTTTAATCACATGAAAAAGAAACGCAAAGTCAGCACAGTGAGGATACGGTTGAAACAAAGTTAGTATGATTTACGCGCGTTTTTATTAATCAGTACCGGGGCTGCCAGATATTTGTGCGTTGATCCCAGTGAGAGTTCAAAGTTCAAGTAATGGCAGTTGTCACAGTGTACGTGCCAGACCAAAACAAAAATATTGTAGTAAATATTTTACACAGTAATTATTAAATTGACAATGAAAGAAAAAATCTATAAAATATCTAACTCCATATGAAAAGAATCTAGGAAAATATTTACGATCTAAACGTCAAAAACAGTATCTAAATGCAACGAAAAAGATCTAAATTTGGATATAAAAGATCCAAAATGGCAACACTGCCCAAGACTCCCCAAAGAACTTGTATTTCCTTTCTTCTGGTGCGGCTAATTGACTGACTTTGTGGGTTAGTTACTTTCAAGTCATTTTTATTGTGTTTTTTATTATGCGCCCTAAAGTATTCCTTGCTACGCGCCGTCTCGTTATAGACACGACGCAAACATGTTTTATTTCATTTGGGGGGGGGGGGGGGGGGGCTGCGGTGGGGACACAAATAAAGGATGCCTACAAATGGTTCCAGTACTGTGTACCGCCGGAGATAGGAAAAAAAAGGGGGGGGGGGGGGGTTCTTTCTATCCACTTTCATTATTATCGTGGTTTTTTTTAAACGAGCCCACATACTGATAGCCTTTATGTGCTCGTTGGAGTAGATTTATTGTTTGCATTCCAAAGTCTGATCAGATCTGAGAGAGATGGAGAGAGAGAGAGAGAGAGAGAGAGAGAGAGAGTGTGTGTGTGTGTGTGTGTGTGTGTTAGGGCTCCTACATGAGATCTCACTCATAAAAAGGATTATTACAGAGCAAAGGTCAGGGTCATTTACAGTGGGAGAAAAATTCCTACGGGGTTTGCACGCACAGGTCATAAAGTTCAAGGACGGTCGACATGGTTGGCCTTCCAATTATTGGTTTAAAGCGGTGGTGGAAATGGGAGGGCGAGAGACAGTCGTATATGTAGGTATAGATTAGTCAGGGAGAGGGAAAAATATAATAGTGGAAAAGATGCAGACAGCGAGTTCATCGAACAAACAGATAGACATAGAGAATAGATCGGCGAACAGATTAACGGACGGTTATGCATGTAGTAGTAGTAGTAGCAGCGGCAGCTGTAGTAGTAGTAGTAGTAGTAGTAGCAGCAGCAGCAGCCGCGGCAGCAGTACTGGTTGTTATGGTGATGGTGGTGAAATAATGTATCTTCCCCCTGCCATGTTGAACCTGAAGGCCTGAAATGTTAGAACACAAGCCCTGACATGGTAGACCGGAAGTCCTGCTAGGTTAGACCGGATGACCGGAATTGGTAGACCGGAAGTCCTGCCTTGTTAGACCGGAAGTCCTGCCATTTTATATTGGATGGCCTGCCAGTCTAGCTCCGAAGTCCGGCTATGTTAGACCGGAAGTCTTCTGTGATAAGGGTCGTTGACCAGTAAAGATGCTAAACATTTACTGTTAACACATTTGTATAGTTGTTTAGGTTAATGAACTTGGGGATAAAGGCATTTTAAGTGCCCACTGTCACATAGCTTGAGTCCTTTGTTCATTTCCAACCATAGATGACCAGAGTGCCGAGTAGTACAGTGGCTTTCAGTTAGTCTCTCTATCTGCGTATCTGTTTGATGGTCTATCGGTCACTTGATCATCTAATTTATTAGTATGTCAGTCACCTGTGTGCAAGTTGGACGTTACATAATCAACCCTAGAATGCTTTAGGGTGGTTGTGGCTTTTCAAAACTTTCAGTAGTTTGCCATTCCATTGCTAACTTAACGGTCTGCTCTAGATACCATTGTAGAATTCGACGCAAGGCAGTCTGCTGTCTAATCTTCAATACCTGGAATCTTATAATTACGATGCATTACAGTTTTTTTATGATTATAACTAATTACTGGCATCAGGAGAATTGATAGAATATAATGGTTAGGGCATATAGAGGGATTGCCAGATTACATAGAGAATGCCAGATAACAGAGAGAATGCCAGATAGCAGAGAGAATGCCAGATAACAGAGAGGATGCCAGATAACAGAGAGGATGCCAGATAGCAGAGAAAATGCCAGATAGCAGAGAGAATGCCAGATAAAATAGAGGATGACAGATACCAAGGAGACAAAAACGGTGCTCGCATAAGAGTCGAATGGCAGTAATCCTCGAGCAAGAACAAGACGAAAGTAGCGAGATAATCTACAGGCAGAACTAGAAACACGTGAAATCATCCACTGGACATAGAAAGATGAACGGAGGCAGGTGAAATATAGTATTAGTAGTGGTGGTAGCAGCAGCATTAGCATCAGCAGTAACAACAGCAGCAGCAGTAGTAGTGGTAGTGGTGGTAGTGGTAGCACAAGTGGTGGTAGTAGAAGTAGTAGCGGTAGTAGCAGTAGTAGTAGTGGTAGTAGCAGCAAAAGTAGCAGCAGTAGTGGCAGTAGCAGTAGTGGTGGTAGTAGCAGTAGTTGTGGTAGTAGCAGTAGTTGTGGAAGTAGCAGTAGCTGTGGTAGTAGCAACAGAAGTAGCAACAGTAGCGGTAATAGCAGTAGTTGTGGTTGTAGCAGCAAAGGTAGCGGCATTAGTGGTAGTAGCAGTAGTTGTGGTAGTAGCAGTAGTTGTGGTAGTTGCAGCAGAAGTAGCAACAGTAGTAGTAATAGCAGTAGTAGTGGTGTCAGCAGTAGTAGTAGTAGCTGTAGTAGTGGTAGTAGCAGTAGGAATGGTAGTACCAGTAGTAGCAGTAGGAGTGGTAGAAGCAGTAGGAGTGGTAGTAGCAGTAGTAGTGGTACTTGCAGTAGGAGTGGTAGTAGCAGTAGTGGTGGTAGCAGCAGAAGTAGCAGCAGAAGAAGCAGCAGTAGCAGTAACAGCAGCAACATCAGCAGTGGTGGTGATGGTGGTAGCAGCTGTAGATTCTAATAAGTTTGTCTACCGGTCCAACCGGTTTGTCGGTCCAACTATTGAACGTCAGCCTGTCAGTTTGGTTCCAAAAATGAGTAACAAGGCACCGATCATCATCATCATCAAGTGCCTTGCCAGCTGGCGTAGGAATTCATGCGTCGCCACAGATCTCTGTCATAAGCCATCCACCATCATGTCTCTTGGTCACCCTCTGCCTCTTCTACCAGTGATCTTTCCAGTCGTCACGATATTTTCCAGTGCTCCTGTTCTCATTAAATGACCAAAGAACTTTGTCTCCTTCTCATTGTTGTATATAATGTTCTACTTTTGTTAGCCATCTCCAGTGTTTCAATGTTAGTTATTCAGGCAAAATAGATATTTTAGACTAATTTAAAAAAAACGCATACCTGCATATATCAAATTTCAATAAGTAAAATTAAGGACCCTTTTTCACGCATTTAGGCGTATTGGGCATATAGTGCTTTACCTACATTTTATAGACCAATCGGAATATGTTGGATGATGTGGACAGCATCAGCCAGCGGCCTTTACTTCCCAGGGGTACACCTGGTTCGCAGTCAAGGCTGGGTCAACCTGGCAGCCAAGGTCATTTTGGGAAAAAAAGGGTCCGGCTCCGTCAGGACCCGAACTGACGACCTTTTGATCCGCAGGCAAGCGTTTAGCCGCTACACCACAACGACTCCCTCAAATCTTTAAAAAAAAATTTATTTCAAATTCTTGTGTCTGTTTTTTTTTTTTGTTTCATCGACCCTTTTTATGTACATTAAGAATACTACAGTCCTCGTCATAGTCTTCTAATAGATAATGATCACAGGAAAGTTGTGAGTATCATGTATCTGTTAACTGTAGAGGTTTGGTATTACCCCGCGTCTGATGTGTAGACATGATTACTGCATTAGAAAAAGACTCATTTCACTCTGTCATTTCTCTCTCTCTCTCTCTCTCTCTCTCTCTCTCTCTCTCTCTCTCTCTCTCTCTCTCTCTCTCTCTATGTGTCGCTCGCTTGCTCTCTTCTTTCTTTCTTTATGTGTGTGTGTGTGTTTGTGTGGCTGACTCTGAATAAACCTATCTTCCACTCTCTGTGGGTGTGTGTGTAGCCGACTGTGGGTGTGTGTAACTGTGTGAGAATTTTGACAACCAGGAAGTCGGTCATGGTTGTAGATGTCATCTAAATTAATTTAAAGCACATTTTTTCACCAGTGGCGCTTTGAGCGTTTGATGCTAGACTTTGATATCTTCTTCTTTTTCTTCTTGTTCTTCTTCTTCTTCTTCTTCTTCTTCTTCTTTCTTCTTGTTCTTTTTCTTCTACTTCTACTACTACTACTACTACTACTACT